AACATAACAGGAGACATAAAGACGATAGGAAACAGGGTCATAATACTGATAGCCTTTCCGAGCAAGACTATAACCCAAAAAGACACAGAGGACAGATCGGGCACTAAGTTTGGTCCTATCTTTGCGGGGAAGAAAGACAGAACAGGCAGATCCAAACACACAAATGAGGGAGTAGTTAGGAATCTAGGAGAATAAAGCCTCATAAGGAGACTGACCAGAAAGAAGGGGAGTAGGCATGTGGTTGAGAAGAAAAGCAGCACTAAGAACTGCCTCCCCTTAGAATAGAGCCGGAACTGAGGCAGAGAGAAGAAGAGACCTACCTATCTCAAGGAGATGATGGTGTTTACGCTTGGCTCGACCATTTTGGACAGGTGTATCTGTGCAGCAAGTTTGGTGAATGGTACCTAAATTGGCCAAATATTCACATAACTCATTTTTAAAATATTCCCTACCCAAGTCAGACTGTAGCACTTTAATTGTAGACCCAAACTGAGTAGTAATCATAAGCTGAAAGGTACGGTATATCTGATAGAAATAGGACTTATGAGTCATAAGATAAACCAAAGTGTAACGGGTGCAGTCATCAACAAATGACACATAGTATGCACAACCCCATTTGGTGAGAATAGGAGAAGGGTCCCAAACATCATAATGAACTAAAGAAAATGGTGTATGTGGGAGCCGAGTTTCGACGACTGCAGAGAGGGCCAAGTATATACTTGGAGGCTTATTATATGAACATCCTTATTCGACCCCATCTTGCATCATCCGAAAGTCGAATCCCCTAATCGGCCGCAGAACTAGTTGAGTGGGGAGCCGAATGGGAAGTGATTTATGACGGAAGAAGCTGAGTGAACAATCACACGACGGATTAATAGTGGGCCCTATCCTGAGGACCAGGGGCATATATAAATAGAATAGGAACAACCAAAGAGAGGTATGTGAGAACTATTACGCTTAACTTAAGATACAAGTAACTAAGAGAGCATACACTAACTTAACCGTCAGAGTGCTAATTCCGACACCCCCGACCGGAGTGTTCATTCCTTTTCAGGTTACTAGCTGAGAATCTCGAGCGTCCCAGTGGATCAAAAGAGTATTTCCTAACCATTTCCCCACAGTGTATTAGATATAGAAGTATTTTTACGAAAATGTAAGGTTGTCATTTTGGCAAGTTTACACTCTCGACATTTAGTAAGTTCACTAGGAGAAATTTTACTCAATATACCTGACTGAGTTAAAGACCGTAAGCGGTCAGTAGACAAATGCCCTAATCTAGAATGCCACAAGTAGAAAGGATTTGATAGAAAATTTAACAAAAAAGAGGAAAAAGCAGTTGGAGAAGTTGTCATAGGCAGATGCAAGCTATCCACCACATAGAGGTCTCCAACTCTACAGTGAGTCTGAATCTGCTGCTTGGACATCCGATCCTGCACAGAATAGATAAAAGAAGAAAAGATAACATTAAAATCGGAGGCATCAAGCTGACTGATAGATAATAAACTGACAGATAACTTAGTAAAATAAAGGGCAGATGGAATGGAGACAACAAACATAGCAGACGGTAAGACAGACCCAACAGATATAACAGACATACTAGACCTATTAGTAGCATTAACAGTAATAGGAAAAGGAGGGGGAGTACAATTTTGAAGTAAAAAGAGATGGGGAGTCATGATGAGAGGCACCACAGTCAAAAATCCAGATAGACGAAGAGATACCTGAAGAAGACCTTAGCAAACCTAAATGAATAGAGGAAACAATGGAGGCAAACAGGGATGGCTGGGAGGTGGACAGTGTATGCTGAAGCTTACTAATCTGAGCACTCAAGGAAGCCAAGTTAAGATCAGGAACTGGAGCAGATGTAGTAGAACCGGTGGGAGCCTAAAAATTACTCGGAGAAGAAAAGCAAAATTGGGTCCGGGATTGCTGAGAATACGAGTCAGACGGACATCCTTTCTTGGGACAGTGATACTTCTAATGGCCTCTCTGATGGCAGAAGGCATACTCATTCAAAGCTAGAGACATCATAATAACCAGAAAGCTAAGGTGTTCAAGTGTAAGAATCCAAAATCAGAACTAGAGGGATCAAACTGTAATAAGCAAAAAAGTTATCCAACAAACCCACAAGTTAACAAGGTCTTGAATGAAATATATAATGACTAGGTGGGTCACTTTATAATAACCAAAATATTGACCCAACCCACAAATATTCCCAGTCAGATAGATAGAACTGGAAACCCTGACCCACAAGTATCCCAAGTAGAATCAGAGAGAGAGAGAGAGAGAGAGAGAGAGAGACTAAAGCAGAGACAGAGATCAGCGACGGAGATTCCTAAGGCTCCGAACAGCAACGACAGTGAGAGAGAGATGATGCAACAACCAACGACCTGGTTCCTAGGGCAACCTACTTCTTCGACTAAAACAAAAACAGAGGCATAGACCAGAGAGAGAGGTCTGATGATCACGAACCAGAGAAATCCAAAGAAGGGTCACATCGAACTCGACCTAGAGAGAGAAGGCCAACCTGACACTCCTTCAAACAGTGAAGACGGAGCACGAAGTCGTCTTTCCGAAGCAGATGAGGAATTAGTTAAGTCACGCAAGACACTCGTGATCTTCGATCAAACCAAATGAAGGCAGAGGGAGTTATGACTTGTGACTCAGAGAGATGGAACCAGAGGGCTGTTTTTCGAGAGATAATCGCGACGAAGGAGATGACCTATGATCACGACTTAGTGAGAATCTGATGAGGAAGACGATTCAAAGACGGTGTCTAGGGTTTGGGTTCAGAGACAGCTTTGATACCATGTAAGAATTTCTGAATAAACTCGTATATTCAATTGTATTTCAATACGTGTACATCTGATATATATAACAATTCTAGACTTAATCCTAAATAGAAAACCAAGAATAAACCTATACTAATCCTAAATAGGAAACAATATTCACAAGAATAAACCTAAACTAATATTATTCTCATAGGGGGAACTGTTTGTTGGGTCACTATATGAATATTATTTTAATATTGTTTAAAAGGTTATGTATTGTCACCATGAGTGATATTATTCTTATAGGGAGAACTGTTTGTTGGGTCACTATATGAATATTATTTTAATATTGTTTAAAAGGTTATGTATTGTCACCATGAGTCAATCCACTTGCTCAACTCAACCCAAATTACATTTGCTGCAATTAGCTACATGGATCTGTTTTCTCCAATTGGTTCTATCCATAGTCATATCTTCATTTAAGTTTAAGATGTTCATGTTCTTTCTTATCACCTCAACCCAAGTTCTCCTAGGCCTTCCTCTATAAAAATAGTTATACTAGAAATTGATTCTTGCATTACTAACTTACTTAGAAAACCCCCAAAAGAAAGTAAGAGAACGTGTTTTTAAACATTAAAAATTATTTTGCTCATTTCTTTTGCTATTAATTTGACTATTAGTCAGCCTCCGTTTGGGATGGACTAGCCTAGTGTTTTTGGCTTATTTTAGCCTGGCTAAAAAAGTTGTGTCTGAGATGAATTTTAGATTTTTTTTTAATTTATTTTAGTTGATTTGATGGTTGTGAGAGAGAAAATGAAATGATTATGGTTTGGATGTGATAGTTTGTCTTATTGGCTATTTTAGCATTTTTTTTTTTGTTGTCTTTATTGGCTATTTTAGCCAAAAACTTGCATCCCAAACGAGGCGTCATTGTCCCCTAAGAATGCTCTAACATCTTCAAAAGCACTAACAATTCAATAGAATTTTCTGGGTACTGTTGATTAATTAGATATCTCCAGTAGCATAAAAAGGGAAGAGAAGCAAAGAGCACAATATTTCAATCCTAAAGAGCTTATGTGTTTAAAAGGTGTATTTCGGAGGAGGAAAAAATTTATGGGATTTTTTTTGGTTGTTGAAATTGACAAGCTACAGAATTTGATGAATCATCTTTGAACTATGAAGCACGAACATGTCGGAATAGGTGCCGTAGTGGTGTCGGACATAGGGACACGCTAGAGACACAGGGATATGTAGGGGACATGTATGGGACGCGGCATTTGGCATGCCCCTTTAATTTTATTATTTTTGTTGTAAGGGATATGCCGGAGACGTGTGTCTAAAACTAGGCCAGAATCAGAACAAAAAGAGGAGGAGGAGGAGAAGAAGAAGAAGAAGCTCTCGCCTCTCGATCGGGTAAGTAGTCTCGCCTCGTCGCCTCTCTTCTCTCGCTCTCGCTCTCATCTCTCTTCTCTCTCACCTCTCAGTTCTCTCTCTGGGTTGTTGTCTCTCCTCTCGCTCGTGTCTCTCTCTTCTCTCTTGCTTTTTTTTTCCCTCTGATTTATACACCTATCTCTCTCTCTCTCTCTATATATATATAGATATTTATATGTCTGCAGTAGAAGGAATGAGATTCAAATCATAATTCTAAAACTCTACCAAACACTACCTATATATCTTTTTTTTTTAAATTTTAAATTGTGATTATTCTAATATATATTTTTTAATTTCTCTATTTATTTATTTTTACTTTTATAAATAAAATATAGTGATTTATATGTATATTGAATTAATGTTAGTTTTTATTAATTTTGATTGTTTGGTAACATAATATTAATTTACATAGCAAATATGTATAAATAAAAAATAAAAAAAAGTTGCCGTGTCCCCTGCCATGTCCATGTCCATGTCCCTATTTTTTTGAAGTCACCGTGTCTGTGTCAGTGTCCGTGTCCGTGCTTCATAGTCTTTGAATCATTAATGATATGATTCTCTTACGATTCACATGGATTCATTGAGTTTCATTACAATGTAAGATTCAAGTTCAACCTGTGTATGTGGATTGAAGAAGGCTTAAATTAAATAAAATTGTGAATCGTTATATTCTGATAAATTGCTAAGGCAAACAATATCAGGAAACACTCTTAAATGGAGATTATGCATTGTTTATGCTGTTGAGTTTTAACCTTACGGATTCACATTAATAATTTTTTTTTGTTCATCTTTTTCCAGGCAATAAAAAATGCTCCTGGTTGTATTCAACCCCTTGTTTCTCGAATTCTACCTTATATTGGACCAATCCTAAATAAAGTATGTATATCTTAGATAAGTCACATTCAGGGTGGAGAAATAGTTATATCCTAGTTTTATCTGTTTCTAATGTATCCTGTTGACATCCATCAGCCCCAACGGCAACCTGATGGTTTAGTTGCTGGTGCATTGGATCTTTTGACAATGTTACTGAAGGTGAGTCACACTTGGCATTATACTTAATTATTTATTTATTTGTCTAATCAGTTATATATAATTGGAGTGCATCTTCAGTGTGTTTGATATTTTTCTGATGATATTATGTGTCTACATTGTTCAGAATTCGCCTAGTGATGTGGTGAAAGCTGTATATGAGACTTGTTTTGACTCGGTTATCAGGATAGTCCTTCAAACAGATGATCATAGCGAAATGCAGGTTTTCTTCTTTTACTAAATTTACATTATTCTTCTCATGTTTCCCAAGCTATTTTCCCCTCTTTTTCAGTAGTCAATGTGCTAGTTGCACCTGAATTGTAGAAATGAGTTATTTGTTTTGACTACTTTGACCAGAATGCAACAGAGTGCTTAGCTTCTCTTTTATCGGTTGGAAAAAAAGAAGTGCTTGCTTGGGGTGGTAATCCTGGATTTACGATGAAAAGTTTGCTAGATGTGGCTTCAAGGTGGTTTGCTCATTCTTTTATCTTGTTTCAACCTTCTGTGAACCATGAGAATTTGCTGCTAGTTTTTTATATTAATTCAGGGATATCCTGATTGACCAATTATAGGTTCTAGCAAAAATAGTTGGATGATGTTTTTGAGCGTGGTGGGAATTCAACTGTTTCCTGTCACATATTCTATTGTTAGAAGTTTCGTTGGCACAGATCATTTTGGGTGGCTCTGTTATTGCTAAGGAGTGTTATTTGTCTTTCACTTGCTTTTTTCCAATTATTTTGTTGATGCTGATCTAAGTCACTACGGATTCCAGAGATGCATTCTAAGGTTCTTTGAATAGTATTTAGCCTGAATGCAGTTTCCTGAAAAACTAAGGCTGTGTTTGGTAGAGTTTTCTAAAATTAATTCCACCCTTACATTCTAATGCTATGTTTGGTTTGAGTTTTCAAATCAATTTCAAAATACATTTTGAAAACGTGTTTGGTAAAGCAAGCAATTTTTGAATTTTTGGTCTATTCGGTCATCTGCCCGAACATCCTCCCGGATGTCCGGCTGGCCAGTTGACCGGCACAGTGCTCTTTTTTTTTTTTTTTTTTTTTACAATTGCAACCTGCTATTTGGAAAGAAAAAAAAAATTATATTTGTTTTTAATATTTTTTAAATATAGAAATTATTTTTTTAGACCAAAATGATAAATTATTTTTTTGAATTGAATTTTAAAAGGAGTTTGGTTATGAGTGTTGAATAAAATTTTCAATAGAGTTTTGAGTTGTGTGTTTTGTTGAGTTATAAGTTTTTCAATTAAGTTTTGAAAACTTTTTTCAAAATTCATAACCAAACAACTTTTCTCAATCCATATGTCACATCAAAAATTCAAAGCTCTTTTTAAAACTCATAACCAAACAAATTTTCTCTTTTCAAATCATAATTCCAACACTCGCAAACTCAAAATACAATTCTATTTTCAAATCATAATTCTAAAACTCTACCAAACACTACCTAAGAGGTTGGGTTTTAAAGTTGATTGTTTTTTGCTTTCATGTTAACGGGTACAGTACTGCTGATTTGAACTGAAACACTATGGAATGAAGTAATCCATAGATTTTTGTGGCTGAGTTGTTTGTATGTTGGTGTTCAATCAGATCATGAGATTAATGCTCCATCTAGAAATGACAAATAGGGTGCATGTTTGCTGGCACATAACTGAAAGTATGAAGTCTAGATTCAGCTACTTCAAAATTTTCTTTTCGTTCTTTACTCTCCAACCACCCCCCCCCGGGCGTTTCTCCTCTCTATCTTTGTAATTTTTTTGGGTGTTCAAATTATCCATTGTTGTTTCTGGTTTTTGGGTTCTGAGCTTAATGTTGGGCAGTCTGAGTGCAGGCTTCTAGACCCTGATTTGGAAAGCTCTGGATCACTTTTTGTTGGAAGCTACATTCTCCAACTTATTTTGCATCTGCCCTCACAGATGGCACCGCATATCAGAGTCCTGGTTGCTGCTCTTGTCAGGCGCATGCAATCTTCTAAAATTGCAGGATTGCGAAGCTCATTGATACTTATTTTTGCTAGATTGGTATATTACTTCAACTCTTTTTTAATGGAACTAGATTTCTTTCAAAATCCAACTTCTGTAACTTCCTCTAGTGTGACTTTCTTTAATTGTTGTAAAAAAAATACTGATTTTATCTCCACTTCAATGACAGCACTTATTTTACTAGTATTAGTTGGCAAGGCCTAGGGCATTTATGAACGAATGCATGATCATGCTTTCATACTGCTATATATATTTGTGAATTGGGAAACAAGTAATATTTAGCTACTGTTAAAGTTGTGCCACAAAGGACACGTATCTGAATTCTCAAATTGTTCTCATTATCTTTTTGAAGCAGAGGCCTGACGGGCTTTCACAGAAACTGCCCTACCCTTTTAAACTTAGTTTTCCTTTTTAATGTAGGTCCACATGAGTGCGCCACATGTAGAACAATATATTGACTTGCTGATCTCAGTCCCTGCTGAAGGCCATAGCAATTCTTTTGTTTATGTGATGTCAGAATGGACCAAGCAGCAAGGTGGGTCACTTTCATTGGAGCTGTTATTTATGCAGTCTGTGTGGTGAATAATATTATCATGCTTCATCAATAACTTTCTAGAAGCTTAACTTCTGTAGATTGGTCGTTTTATTTATGATTCTCACATGCAGTTCACCAAATGTATGTTCCTTCTCAACTATAGGCTAATGTTGGTTGCATCATAATCTCTATCTGTTAATAAGTACAAAAAATGCCCTTTGCAAATGAGATTTTACATCCCACTCTTTTACCTCTTTTTAAGACTGATGATCTGGTTTATCATGACAAGAAGCCAAACTTCTTCTGATTCTTGTTAGTCATAGATTTGATATCTTCATGAATACTTTATGTATGATTGCTGTGCAATTACACTAACTGGCATTAAAGAGAAGACCAATATTCTTAAATCCCATGATTTGAACCCCAAAAAGTTCCTAGTAAATTGGTTGAGGTTAATTTGTCTTAATCCGTTTTGTTCATTAATTGCATCATTTAACTTAGCCATAGATGCATCATATGACTATCAGATAACACGCATAATGTGGTCTACTTGAAGGTCAATATCACTAGCATATCTAAACTCAAAGTGCATATTGTATCAAACTTTGTCTCTCTTTTGTTTGTTCGGTTTAGTTTCAAATCTGAATGATTTTCTTCGTCTAATCTGAATTTCTTTTCTCTTTTTTTAATAAAAAGTTATTTCTGAAGATAAAGTCAAAATATCTTTGAAATTGATCGGAATTTGATGTTTCCTTGGTCATTAGTATCACAGAATATGAAGGAACAATTAATTGCCGTTTGGCCTTTGTTATCTTGTAAGAATCTTTTAAAAAACTTTGTTCAATTTAAGACAAGTTTGAAGATCTGGCATCTTTCTGTGGTAGAGTTTGTCATTTGGCATTGTTTTGAGCTTCCGTTTTGACTCTGTTAAAAAAGATTTTTTTTTTTTTTTTTTTTTTTTTCTGATTTTTTTTTTTTTTTTTCTTTTCTTCTAGAGATTGGAAAGCAATTTGCGATAGTTAAATTTTCTCTTAATTTTTGGTAGATGATGTAGAGGACATCTTGTCCTCCCTTTGTACTCATTTTCTTGTGTTTATAAAATTTTCTTTGGCTGCCGATTAAAAAAAACATTGTTCAATTTAAAATTTAAGCACCATTGATTCATATCTCATGGAGATGGACATTTCATTGCTATTTCAGAGACAGAGACACTGTTGTTATTGATTAACAGAAACTTGTTAGACTTGGTGTTTGTTTGATCAAGCCACTTGGCTGAAAATGAATTGTGAAACTAAAATGATATTTCTTCCCAAACGGTAACTGAGTACAGGGGAGATTCAGGGGTCATACGAAATTAAAGTCACAACAACTGCATTGGCTTTATTGCTATCAACGAGGCATATCGAACTGTGGAAAATCAATGTGCAAGGCCATCTAATTAAGGTTGTTCATATATTCATAATTTCAGCTTGTACGGGTCATATTTGTTCAAGAACTTATTTAGTTTCATGTGAAGTCCACTACAGGGATAACCACTCGCTCAAAGGCTAAATTAGCTCCAGATCAATGGTCATCAATGTTGCTTCCTGCAAAGGTACTTCGACTAGTCTGCCAAAGATGTCTTTTTGATGAACAAGGTTACAATCAAACAGAATGTGGATCATATTGGGATAGAGTTTCCTAATCCATACTGAACACATTGTTGTTTCATTATTTGTCGTAAATGAAATCCCCACAAGTGATCACCTTGTGGAGGAAAACTTTCGTTGTATCATTTTAGTAAAATTTTGTGTTGAAGAGGGATTAACATGATATTAACTCTCATACATTCAAGTTATGCATTATACCTCTGTTTCTCAGTTATACATATAATATTGTCAAAGCTTTCTCCAAACACCTCCATAATTATAATGAAAGAAAGGAAACTATGTAAAAGTTTTGTTAACATTGTAGCAATTAATGTATATATGTTACATGGACTTTTCAAAATAAACCAAATACTTATGTCGGACACTTGACACACGGATAAGGTATGAAATATGTGTCCGATATTTCCCATGAAATAAGCACTTGGCATGTATATCCATGAATTCAATTTTTTATTGTTTTTTTTAAAATGTAATTGTATTTAACACTGTCATCATATTTATTTTTCGTTGGATAAATTCTATAAAATTGAGTGAATTGCCTTTTTTGACATTTTGTTACATAACACTATTTTATACCACAAAATAGATTAAAAATGTAAATAATATTCTCATTTCTTGCCGAATAAACATATCCTACAATTAGAGGTTTGATACATTTAATCCCTAGACATGCACCACACCGGACGCATGTACTTGAGTCCATGTAACACACACACACACACACACATTAGACTAGTGGATTGAATGGCCTCGCAACCCCACTTTTATTGTGAACTGACAGATATTGGCTCTATTGGCGGATGTGTTGATTGAGATTCAAGAACAAGTATTGGGTGGTGATGATGAGGTAGTTTTGGCCTTTTAACTTCTTGTAATATCCGCATTGCAAACTAGTATTGTAAATATTAAACTTTGGACCAATGTGTGTGGCAGGATAGTGAATGGGAGGAAGTTCAAGGAGATTTAGAAGCAGATCAAGATTTGCTACATTCAGCAGCTGCTACATCATATACGAGACCGTCTTATGAATATCTGGATGCAATGGCAAAAGCTCTCAATGAGGTGTGTGAAAAGATTATATTTCTTTTGTCTATTACATGCTTGTTATGAATATCTTTGCGTGTGTGTGTGTGGTACTTTCTAATGAACTTTGTTCATTTGTTTTACTTACAAATTTTAAGGACAAAGATGACGGTGATGAAGATGAATTACTAAGTGATGCTGACCCCCTTAACGAGGTATCTATTCTTTTATTTATTTAATTTTTCATGTAACTATTATTTTATTAATCTGAACTTTCACACTAACTCCTGGCAGATTAATTTGGCGAATTATCTATTTGATTTTTTTGTGAAGTTTTCTCAAAGCGACAAACCATTGTTTGATCATCTTTGTCAGGTCTGCTTGAACCGCTTTTTAGTGACCTTGTTTCTTAATTGATTGCATTACCATAGTTTGAAAATCCCTTATTCCATTTGTAATTTGCAGAGTTTGACAAAGCCTCAGCAAAATGCTGTTCTAATGGTGCTAAATCGGTGAAGATTTTGATTGCTGTTCTGAGTGTTGTTTGTCAGCGTGCAAAATTTTGGCTGATTTGACTAAAAAAGTGACCTTGTTTTTCTTGCCGAATCTACTCCTATTTGAGTTTGTAAAGCTGAGTTGTCGATCATTGCTTTTGTTTGGTTGTCTTTGTTTTAGTTTTGTTAGTAGGAGCTTTCAGTTACTGTTTACAATCAAGTAGCTTGATATCCAAATGATTGGTTATTCATGTGTAAATCAAAAAAAAAAAAAAAATGATGTATGTTGTAAAAGAAATTGAGTGGGTTCTTAGACATCTCTCTCTAATATTTATTCATTGACAAATGGTTTATATTTTTCCAGAAACAATTCTGAAGAAATTTCACTTCCGAGCATAGATCAAGTGGAACAGATGTGCAAAATTTTTTTGCAGATTTTAAGGCTGCAAATTTATGGTAAACTGCCTAGTTATGCAAAGAAATTCTGGTGTTGCATTGATGAGAAAGTAGTGATTTTGATTTGATTTTATGGATTTAAAATGAGAGGATTAGGCACTATTCATATGAGAAGAGTAGTTCAATTTATAGTTTTAGATATGAATTTTAATATTAAATTGTTACAATGATTTGGAGTTAAATTGTGAAGTTTGTTACTTAGAATTCTTCGTACTTAGTGTTCTAATTAGTAAGGATAGTTCCATTGGTTATTTTTGTATACTCTTATTCGTGAGATCAAGGGGTCAATTATTGTCAAAGGATCAATTATTTCTCCTTTCTTTCGGGAATTCCCCCCTCCCCCCTTCTTTTGAGAAAATATAAACTGCATTAATAATGAAAATGAATATAGAGTTCTACATACGGAGGTTTTTGTTGTATTGAGTTGTTTATTTTTGGGGAACTTACTGATAAGTCTCATGTAACAAGTTCAAAATCCAACTAATCCCAAAACAAAATACTTACCAATTAGTCCAACACATTTTTAATTGTTACCAAAAAATCTTTTTTTTTTTTTTTTTTTTTTATAGACACTGTTCACATCTTACTACCGTCGGACTTCCGTTTAACGGTCGCCGGAGACTCACCGGAATGTCTAGAATATTGCCGGAAAAAAAAAAATTAAAAAACATGTTATGAAACTGTAAAATTTTACAGTTCTAAAGAATGTTATAAAACTGCAAAATTTTACAGTTTTCACCGCCTGTAACTAAAACTCGAAAACTGCTTGTTCAGAATTCGAAAATTTTCTTCATTAGAACAGAAAAACAGAAGTGTATAGTAGAGAGAGAAAAAAAAAAAAAAGAGATCGAAGGGGAAAGACAAAGCTGTAGATCTACTCAGATCTGATGTAGATCTGAGTAGATCTATATCAGATCTAAGTAGATCCATTCATCTTCTTCGTCGGAAAATATATCATTTTCTTCGTCGGAGTTGATTTCAATGCTTGGTGGTTATCAATGAACCCCGATCAATGGAGAAAGATATGATCACCGGTGGTCCTCTTCCATGACAAACACGGTGACAGAAAAATGTAGAAAAAAAAAAAGAGAGAGGAAGGGAAGCAAAAAGCAGAGAGAGAGAGGAAAGGACTTTTGGGTGTAGTGAAAAAGTTATGGGATTAAATGGAGATCACATGTTTCCCATGGGACCTATCGGTAATTTCCCCATTATTTTTCTTATTATGGGCTGTTTTTTGTGGTGGTGTTGTGTTCCTAGCTATATATTGTTGAATTATAATAATTGTCAATTTGTTGTAGTTCTTTTCATAATTGTGATTAATTCCTACCAATTGGAAAAAAAAAAGTTTTTGGACACTCCGTCCAAAAATCTAATTTTGAATTTTCTTTTTCCAAATATTTACGCTTTAAAATGTTTTGTTCATAAGGACAAGTTCTCATAAAATGACTAAAATACACACACACACACACATATAGGGGTGTACACGGGTCGGGTCGAGTTAAACCTCTATCCACTACCGAACCTGAATAGTGCAGGTGGGTGAAAAATCAACCGATTCTGACTGGATTTGTTGGCGAAACCGCCCGTAGATGATTTTCGATTTAACGGTCGGGTTTGGATCGGTTGGGCGGGTTGGGACTTTAATTTTGGGCCTTTATGAATAACTATTATTTTTAACCCATTTAACATTCAAACAATCCAATTTTATAATTTAGTTATGTTTTGCTTTGGAAAATGACCCAAACAGCCCTTTCTACAGATAAACCCATTTAAAAAAAAAAAAACTTAATAATTTATTTAGAATCAGTCCAAACAGCCCATTATGAATAAAATAAATAACTAGTAAAATAAATCCAAGCATAAACAACCCAAACTAAAATATTACATTCATCCAAAAATAAAAAAATAGTTTAGCATACTAAATGAATAACCTATGTAAAATCAATCCAAAACAAACAACCTGCTGCCAAAAAAATACATCAAAGTAAGTTAACTAAATAAATACTAAATGAATAATCTGAAGCACTAGGAACAGAATCTGTCCAAATGAATAATTTGAAGCACTAACATAATAAATACTAAATGAATAATCTGAATCACTAGGAATAGATCTGTCCAAAATAGAATTTGTCCAAAATACTTCAAATGCATCAAATAATCTGAAGCAGTAGAAAGAAATAGAATCTGTCCACAATACATCAAATGCTATAATAGAATCTGTCCAAAATACATCAAATGCAATAAGCAGTATTGCCAAAAAAATTCCACCTACTGCCACCATCCACATTAAAACTAACAAAATAAGCTAACTACTTAGTTTGTCACCATCCATTTTCAGTCTATCATAGTTACAGACAGTAATCCATCAAAACATTCACAAGTATAGTTATCCCAATCACTATCCATGTGCAAAAATATTTGTTCATAAAGTCAAAAAGAAGAGTACTGATCTATTTTAATTGTATAGAACCAAAAGTCAAGAAAGTCAGTTAACTCCCCATGAAACCAAAAAGATCGAAGCCTGCAAATACAAAAAACATAGAAGATGAGAACATGTTGCAAATAGATTTTATTAATTAAGTAAGAAATAAAAATTAAAGATATAGGATTGAGTAACTTTACCAAGCCACACTAGAGTGTGATAATATTTGGACTTGGGTTTGAGGTTGATGCCAATTCAGAAAGAGTTACAAGCAGTAGACCAATTAATTCAAATTTAAAACAATGTTATGTTGTATTTAGTACAAAACATAAATATAAAAATACAAATAAATCAAAATATTACCTGCAGGGTCATATTGTTCAAGTTCCTCCACATCATCCATTGCCTTCCGAAGAGAAATAGGAACTATGCTTTGCAGCCAATTTTGTGTACATATCAGAGCCTCCACCATCATTGGAGATAATGAACTACGAAATGGGTCTAAAATGCGTCCTCCTGTACTAAAGGTTGATTCAGAAGCTACTGTAGAGACGGGTATTGCCAAGACATCACGTGCAACTTGGGACAACACTCTATACTTTGAAGAATTGACCTTCCACCATCCCAATATATCAAACTTTTCTTCATTGGAAGCTTCACACCTGTCTGCCAAGTACCTATTAACCTCAGATTTACACAGACTAGAGCATTCTGCTTCCAAATACGTATTAAATTGAGACGCAATTAATAGATGTGGATCATCACAGTCATCATCAACCTTCATCGCTGATCCTTCACACACATTAGACATTTCGACAGTTACCAAATCATGAGAAGCATAATGCTCGTACAAACGAGACAAACAATCCTTTACCCGTCCTAGCAATGGTAACACGAGATGGAATGTTCTTAAACTTTGGTTGCAAAACGGCGCAAAATCTCTTAAACCCTTCACCTTCTACAAACCTAAAAGGTAATTCATCAAGCACTATCATCTCAGCAAGAGCTCTTCTTGCAGCTTCTACACTAAAGCTCATTGCCACAAGATTAACACCCTCGTCTCCATCTTTTTTGGATTGAAAAGACAAAGTTTGTTGTCCATTATTATCCACATCTCTGTGAGGATATTTTCGACAAGAAGTCAAGTGACTCAACAAGTTGCTTGTCTGATGCCCCTTCGAATCAGCCAAATACTCCTTTTGACAATATTTACAAATAGCCCTAGAACACATTAAACCTTTAATAATCAATATGAATACATATTTTCAAACAGAATACAGTAAACCTTTAATAATCAATATGAACACATTAAACCTTTGAAACACTCAAGGATTATTAATTTGAATAAAGAGCATGTTAAACAACAGAACAATCAATATACATTATTAAAACAGTGAACATATTTTTCTTTCATGTTAAACAACAGAACAATTAATAAACATTTTAAATTGAAAAATAATGAACAAAAATAGTTCAAATAAATTGTTAATGGAAACTGAAAAATTTAGAACCATCATATTCAGTTCTCATGAAACGATAATAAAATACGTATATGATATCTACCATATTTGAGCACTAAAAAAAAACCAAAATCTCGAGAAAAAAAAATAATGAAAAAAAGTACCTATTTGAAAAATCTTTCTGTTTCCAGGGCTGAAAATCTGAATTGAAAATCCGAGTTCATGCAACGAGACAATGAGAAGACAAAAACAGAGAGTGCGTAGGTGTATGTATGTAATACATGTGTGTTTTTACTTTTGAGAGAGAGAGAGAGAGAATAATTTGTGAATGGGTTGAAAGGTTTGAGTAAACATTATTAAAACAATGATGAACCATTAACAAAAAAAAATTACAAAATTTTCTAAAATTGTACCTGGGGTTTGGTTGATCGTTGAGTAGAGAACTTTGAAACTTCAATACTTCGAAGTTACAGGGTTTTCTTCATCAATAGCCTTGAATCAAAGAGGGTTTTCATAGTTGATATTTAATATATAGAGTATTTAGGGTTTGAAATTAAAGATTTGGTTCAGATTTATGGATGAGACCATTAGAGAAACTATGGATGCATTAGGGTTTCAAAGAGAAATAGGGAGAGAATTCGTGAAAGAGAGAGAGAACTTGGGAAATTTCTGAAGAAAGTGAGAGCTTGAGAGGGATATAGAGAGAGAGAGATAGGAAAGGGTAGGTGGGTGCTCATCATCATCCACCTGCTGTTTGAGTTTTTTGAGATACAATATGATTTGAAATTTGTGACTGTGTGAGGAGAGAGACCATCATCATCTGCCGTTTGATTTTTTGAGATACAAGATAATGGTTTGAAATCTATCACTGTGAAACAAAGAGAGACAGAGAGAGGGGAAAAGGGGGTTGGTGAGATTGTGATCATGGCCTGTCTTTTGATTTCTTTGAGATAGAGAGAGATGTCGATAAGGGTGTTGGAAGTTGTGCGTGTGATTTGTCAAATCAATTAGAGAA